TATCATCTCTTTTCTTAGACTTTTTGGAAAAATGTGCTAGTATTAAAAAATAAAAATTAAATCAAGATTTTCTTTCTTATAACTGATTTTCTCATCATTAACGATATTATAAAAAGTTATTTTAATATCTCATATTGTCACGCGCGCGCAGACTTTTAGTTGTTATCAATATTACAATTTTAATGACAGACTAATTAAGTTATTTCTGCACAAAAATGTGAGAAAATATCACGTTTTTAATTTTTTAACATTAACGTTTATTTCCAAAAAGTCTGATAATAAATAATTTGAGATAAATAATGTTGAAAAGATATTGTGACAAAAAAATGAAATTATAGTCACTCGATTTCATTTAAATATTAAATATTATAACAATTTTAAACTTCTTGAATCTTTTAAAATTCGAATTTGTATTCTAAAAATCTATAAAAATTTTCGAGGATGTTTTTTGATAAATAGAATGTCACTAATTTTTTTGCATAAATTTTTATAAATTAGAAAAAAAATTATGATAAAGAAATTTTTATCACAATTGCTACTCTTGCAATGGTGAGAATAGAAAGTTAAAACTTGGCGAATATTTCATGAAGGCCTAACAATTGACGTGTAGCAAGTTGGCATGGCAAGCAAATTTCATATACATAGTCTATTACATTCTTTGCAACAATACCTTTTGAAAATCCGCCGATCTTATAACTTCAGATTCTATCTTCATGGCATGACCGCGCAAGACAGGATCGCCAACTTGACAAATGTGCGTATGTGGTAACTCGTTGGAATTCATACCAAGCAATCGTTGGATTGTCTCTTTCATTTTAAGAATATTCACGAATCTTACATTGTTTCTTTTAACGGCAACGACACAGGAGGTTACATTAGTGAAATTATATATTCGGAACATTGTATTCAATGCTTAAATATCACTGCGATATTTTTTAAATTCCAAAAGTGAGGTTATCCACTATCTATCACATCGATATTTCTATTCTTGTGTTTTCCGGCCTGACGATGACGAAATACCGGAAACTTACAGCGCCAAATACGAAGTTTCGTCATCATCGAGTTATCTCCCGACACGAAACAACTGCCAGGAAAAATTTGATCGATAATATCGCAACGAGTATTTCGCACTATCCGACAAGAAATTTGTTTTTTTTTATTCCCGCATTAGAATTTTCTTTTTCGTTTTCATCAAATATCAAATATATATCTATTTTATTTTAAGTTCCAAAAGTATATACTTTTCAGCCATAGAAAATAAATCAAAAATATTATTATTAACTATACTAAATTCAAATATAAATCAGTAACATTCCGCAATTATCAAAATGAGATATGAAAAGAATGTAGAATATTATTTGATATAAATATCCGAGAAATCGATCAGTAATTAATGCGATTGCTCGATTTAGAAATGCAATAACAAATTTGAAATTATTAGTTAAGCATATTAAATAAATATATACATTTATGGCACAATTATTACGAATTAATATATAACACTGCTTCGAACTATATTATATTCAGAGATAATGACAGAAACAATTCTTTTTTTAAATAAGCCTGTAATATGCGCCATTATTATTGCGCCATAAATATATATATGTATGTTTTATAAAATGTCTAAGGTTGGATTGTTCCACCTTTCAATAAATTTCAGCTCATTCTCTAACTCTCTTATTATTCTCTTATGTTCTTATTATCTTTTATTGTTTTGTTTATCCATTGGATAAATTACTACATAGTTTATCCAAAAATGGAACAATCAGCTCTAAGTAATATTAAAAAGTATATTAAACATAAATAATTTGTATTTATTCTAATAGCACAGAAAGATTTCTGTAATGTTGCACGAACATAACATTAAAACATTGAAACAATCGCAGTTACATTGCATGATATTTTTAAAAAGTTTTTGTTTACAAGATTGTGGCAACATCAAAATGTCACTGTGATCCGCAAGAAACGTTTCTGAAATATTACAAAAACGTTTGTAAAATCTTTCAGTGATATGTTAGTGCAACATTTTCTTTAATTTCATTGGCAAGAATGTAAAAAAATTTTATATATGCGGGCAGGGCTAGGCAAAATACATCATTAATGTATTTAAAATACAAAATACTATCAATCTTAATTAATATTTAAATTACAAAGTATTTTTAACTTTTTGATTTGAAATACAAATTATTTCAAATCAAAAGAAAGTAATTTGTACCTTATAATTCAAATACTAATTAATATAATTGACAATATTTAGCAATATTTTGTATGTTAAATATTTTAATGATATATTTTGCTCAGTCTGTATGTGCGGGAATAAATATTTGTTAGTAAAAAAGCAAAATACTTTATTAAATCGTAATATTCTTATTCTTATGTTATTAATATTGTCAATCATAATTGATTGATTTGAACAATATATTATTAAATCACTGTACCTTACGTATCTTTGAAAAAAGATCTTTGAAGCTCATTACATTCACTTTACCTTTAGCTCTATATATATATAATATTAAAGCTTTATATAATATATTAAATTAATAAAATATATTAAAAAATGTAACTATAAAAATAAAATTTTTTGAGATATTTTTTCTCTCTCTTCTTGCTCTGACTAAGCTAGAATTTACTAGAAAATTAATATTCTTATCTACGTTGCATACATGCACGCATGCGTGCGTACGTGGATGCGTGTTGCGTGCGTGAGTGTGAGCATGATCGATCGATCGGATAATGTTATATCTGCATTTATTAATTCGGAGTTTCAGAAATCTTTCAGAAACTTTACATTTGCACTATTGAAAGAACTATACATTACAGAAATATTTCAAGCTCAAGATTTTAATCAAAGTAATTACAGAAATATTGCAATTGTAATATTTCAAAAAAGAATCTCAGAATTACAAATGTGATGATATTGGAAGGTTCCTGCAACACAACTGAAACTTTCCATGCTATCAGAGTAGCTACCGACATCTATCGGAAGTAGGAAATTGAATCATTCAACTTGGATTTCATTACCATCGGTAGTCTAAAGGCAGAATACATGCTCGTATGGAATACAAGAGATTCAGATTCGATTCTCAGCCGAGATAATGTTTTTCGTAATAAATTTATTTAGAATTTTTCAGCACATCTTTCTAATATGATGTCTGATTGAGCACCGAATTATTAAAAATTGCTTGTCAATTTAATTTAATTTGTAATATTATTACAATTGTTTAATTGCATTTATAAATCCGGAAAACCAATTCGGCATGCATAACTATTTGAATAACTACAAATATGGTATATATGCATGTATATACATATATATATATATAGTATATATATAGTATATACCGAGTGTCTGACACCACCCATACATATTTTTTTTCTCAGAAACAAAGTAAAAAAAAAACGTTTCAGACAAAAGTTGTATGATTTCGAAGTATACATAAGATAGTCATTGATTTGATCTCTCTAAACTGTCAAACCAATAATCACCATCTTATGTACAGTCGGAGTCTAAAAGATAACACTTTTTTTCGAGTTTCGAAATAGGTATTTCATTTCTAATTTATCGATTGTATTCTCACATATATGGTCTTAAATAAGATTCTTATAAATTATAAATTATTATTATTCTTATAAATTATTATTTGTGAATTATATTTTTAGTATAAATTTATATACTTATAAATTATTAAGATCAGATTAAGTTTAATTTAAATTTAATTCAATTTTTAATGTTTTATGAATTAAATTTAATTCACTTTTAAATTTATATTATCATTTTTCGAATAACCATTACACATAATGCACAAATATTTAGATAGAAATGCGCTTCTTGAACATATCTCGATATTATATCAACATATACCTCATTATAATTATATAATTAGATAAAAATTATTGAAAAATAATTATGAAAATCATATTATAAAAACATATAAGGTAGTTGGCTCAGTAATCGTCATGTTAACCAAATACTTGACTTTGCAAATTTATATTTTTCAGATTGAAAAGTGAGTAACTGTTATTTTAGGTTATTTTAAATCAATTTTTTGTGATAAATAAAACGTCACTCTAAAATTCTTATTTCTACTACTGTTGTTGAGAAAATCCTTCGGAAAAATTAAAAGGCGCAAATATACGAGTTATCCATGCCGCCATAATCGTCCAAATAAAAGTCGCCAAAATAAAAGTTTGCTGAATAATCGTCATAGATATGTCTCACAAAATGCCAAATATGTGTTTAATGATCGCATACACGAATGATGGAATGATTCAGACACATAAATTTATATAT